AATTTTCTTTAATGAAAAAAAAGCCATCTATAAAGAAAAAATTAGTGATACAGTAATCATTACTCATATTCAAAGCAGTAGAGTTAATAAAGTCTTGGTTTAATCCATAAGAATATAATTTCAAAACATAGAAGTTTTCTTGTTGAAGTCTATTGGTTTCTTCATTAACAATTTCTAATATAGTTATCTTAACAGAAGTAAAAGGATTATTTTGCAGAATAAATTTGTATGAGTAATAGGATGAACATGTGAGACATCGTTTGCTTTTACATTTTATAACATTAGCAGCAATATAATTATTATGATCAGCTCGCTAGGCTAAATTATAGTTGAAACAATTTGTCTATTAGTTAAGGCAATGATACTTAATTGCATAAAGATTGAACAATGTAATGGAAAAGTGCGACAGTCAGCAACAAGCAATGGAAAATCAAAAGGAAGAACTGCATTAAAACAGCAAATCCAAACCTGTGATAAATGACGTCCAAATGAACAAAAACATGCCCAAATAAAAATCAAATAAAAGACGCTGTACACATCAAGAGGATAACCAGGGTACAGGCTATGATGTGTGATATAATATTTGCTCTGGGTTTTGAATGTGACTGTGGAAGTAGGACCCACATTGCAGTGGGGATACGCCATCTGTCAGTCTTAACCTCCGTTCACCAGTCTCACATAAAGAAATTCAAAAATAAAAAAATCAAAAGAAGTAGAAATTAGGAGAGTGAGATGTGGGTTATTCTTTCTTACTTTATTGTACTTGCATTGCTATGGTGGAGGTAGTGATGATGGTGGGATCATCAGGCTTGGTATTCTCACCACCAGAGGCTGCAGGTGTCATGTGAGAACCTGTTCTACTTCTAATATATAATGTTCGTATCAAATATCTGGACACATCAGTCTACTACAATGTTTAGACATGTAGCACTTTCTATAAAACCATGTCAAGAGTGGGTTCAATTAATCAAGTGCTGTCACTGTTTCACTGGAGTCAACAACAGTGGCAGCATGTAGAATCATCATACACTGTTCACATGTATGGAAGAGAATCTGGCAAGGATCAGGTGGCAAGCCCAATAGATCTGATGAATAATTCTCTCAAAATATCTTGCAATATTTCATGTCAAATGATTTGCTTGGTAGCTTGGAAAACACTGAGTTTATAACCACATGTTTGTCACAGCTTATGAAGTACGGGTCGCATACTTCCAGCCATAATCTTCAGATGTGCAAACTTTTGATGCACTAAGTATTACATCCACTCATTCATTCTATCCAGCTTCTTGATAATCAAGCACTTATAATCTGATATTCGGCAAATATCTCCTTTAATGAAACTCTGCTTGACAGTTCAAAGCTCTTTTGACCACATTAATCTTAGGACCAACAAAATGTTCTTAACTATGTAATAATCATGTAGTGAATAGATTGTGCTGTGAACATCAGTTGACAGCTTGGAAATCATAGATTACCACTTCCTTTCAACCAGTATTCCAACAATCAGTGAATGTTCAAACTTGATAAATCAATACCAGTCTCACCCACATTAATTCGGAAACCAGTGGAGTGGCTTAGCCAACTTTCAGAGTTGTCTTTCATCTTTAACTCCAGCATTTCCTCATTTGATTCATCAAGAAGAGTCAGGTAATTACTTTCAATTCTGTCCTCCACTGACTCATTGGTCTAAATCTCAGACTCCTGGTTGAACTGGTACACAAGAAATTCTGTGATGTATGGACACAACTTATTAGCACGATTCATGTATTTCTACTCATCTAGCATCCACTGTAACCTGTACATAAATGGACCATTCTGCCAGAATACAAGGTATGGATCTTTCCTGATGGATCCAAGCTGTTTCCATCCTTTTTGAATGTACCATAACCAGACTCAATATACATACTGCTACATCCATTCTTGTAGCTCTTCTGGCATTTGGTAGTCTTCCTTGTTGTTGATAAAAATCTCATGCACATCAACTAATGCAGATCTTAATCACTCCACATATTCCTGTGAGCACTGTGAGGGTTCTGGTCTAGGAAAAGGACCATACATCATGTCAACAGGAAGAAGGATTTCCCACCATGAGCATATCCAGCAAACAACCTGTAGACCTTTGTTCAGTTGCTCTGTATGTATTCATAATGTATTGTGAGTGCTCATCTGAGTCAGTACAGTTTGGATTATCAAACTTGGCAAGCATGCATTTGGTAGATTGTATCATCCATTCTGCTAAATTAATAAACTGGACATTATACAGTAAAGTGCATGTCTTCACCACACCTAACGCTTTACACAACTCAGAGAAATAATTAGTGTTGAAATTAGCTCCTTGATCCATATGTATCTCTTAAGATGCTCCAAGTCATGTTATCTTATGCTACAACAACAAATTAGTGTATGCAAATTAGTGGAACATGCATACAATGAAAAGTACTAGCAGATGTAGACTTCATAAAACACTTTTACCATTACTTGTATGGCAGGAGTTCAACACCTGGATAGACTTTGTTTTACTGATAACAAAATTGCAAGAAATGCAGACAGGTTGTCTTGCCACGTGTTGAAACCCTGTCTGTTTATGGAATGTCCTGATCCTAGATACTATTTTTGCCATAATATAAGTCGTGCTGTAGGAGATGCCACAAATAGAGCTCTTGTGTATATGCTATAGCACCTGCAATGACTGTCAGTTGCATCTTTAAACTTTTAATTGTTTACTATTTCTATAGGCAAGCTATATTTATATTATACTTGTTAAATTCAAACATGTTAGTAAAATTTCAAAAAGCAAGATAATTGTCAAATTTGTCTATATATATATTACTTTGTAAGCACTGTTAAACATAAAATACTTCCTTTTTCTTAAAACAAGTACTTAACAATCATAAGTCAAAAGAACACAACACAATTCACCAGTTCAATGACAGTGACTAAAATAATAGTATATTATTTATTGCATTAAGTGCCATAAATTTTAGAAATCTTTTAAGTAACTAAAACAAGCACTTTTATATAGAAAATTCAAAACATAAAGAACTTCATAATACACAGATAATTAGAATATGGTTATTCAGCTTATTCCTTTAAAATGAAAATAAAGTTTGCTTATATATTAAACACTCTATGAACCATTTTTTCCTTAAAACGATAATTTAAAAATAATCTAGAAAACTGTGTACAGATAAATGAATAAAACTTATTGTTTAAACTCACTAGTTTTTTCTACTCCTGTATCATGTAAATAAAACTGCAGCGAAATGTGAATAGAAGTAATTATTTGTACTTGATATTGCTGTTTTCATTCATAAACAGCAAACAACTGTTAGGAATTGGGAAAAAAAAGTATATTCAATTCCGAGTTGAATTCCTGAATTCTTTGTGCAAAGTTAATTCAGGGTGTTTTTATGGTAAAGCTCCTAAGACTATTTGCCTCTATCCATAATTTTGAACTATTGACCAGAGGGAAGGAAATCAATAAGCAGAAATAAACCACCTATGCTAAGGAATTAATATTCACTCTAATAATTCACCCACAGCTAAAAGTGTGTGAAATATTTTATGGTATGGGAAGTATTCAAACCTGGCTCTCCAGATAACAAATTCAGAGATTTGCCACTGAGCCAATCCTCACCCTTAAGAGTGATTTAGAACTTAAAACCTTCCATGCAATCTTTCATCTACAAATAATAAACAAGTATATGATCATTTATGAAAACATTTTCTTAAATGCCTACAAAAACAATTTATTATTATACAAGATTTTCTCACTTACCACATTTTAAAGCCTGCAATAGGAAGGCCAAGTTCTCAGCAAAGCTACCCTATCAATGAATGAAATAATACATTAAAAAATAATGCTTTATCTGTATATTTTCTTAAAGATGAAAAGACATTAATGTAATTTTAGTATCTAACACTATTACTTATGTTGTTCAAAATAAAAATGTTGCTTCAATTTGAAAAGGCATGCTTAGCCTAATTCAATACTAAGACATACCCAAATTTTAATAAAGCCATTTCTTGATTGGTGTATTCGTAGTCTTTTCTATAGCTCGACAAAACTCTTTATACAATTTTTAAAACATAAGTTATATTAGTATACATAGGAATACAATGTTTAATCACTTTTTGATTTAAAAATGTAGATTAAATTGGAAACATTCTTGTGAACTTATTTTCTCAATATCAGGGATGCTTTAGCTGGGTGGGGTTCAACTAGCAATGGGAAATATATATACATTAGTATTTAAGATAATTATTATCACAAGTCATAATACAGAAATTTATCATTTTCTGCTACAAAATAATTATGTATATTATAATTATCTTTGCATACAGTACAAAAGTGAGTCAAAAAACTTAATTTTATTTTTCTCTACATTAAACAGATTCATTTTGTAACTAAAATCAACATCTGTTCTAATCTTTCATTACAACAATTCGTTAAGCCAAAACAATGATATTCATTTGTTCACCACATAATTTGTTGTATTTATGAAATGTTGAGTCACTTCAATCATGCATATAGCATTTACCTCACACCACTCTTAAAAGCATCTTATTTATATTCTTTGATGCAAAAAACATCATTTTCTTGTACTTTCACATTATAATAAAACACCTTCCTAACTGCACTTCAATAGAGAAGAGCTGCAATATGCAGGCATATCTTGTGTTTTCCACTTTATTTAGTGATATAGAAATTGAAATTTATTTTCACTTATTTAGTTTCCATTCTGTAATAGCAGCAACACCTGGTCCAGAGAGTCATTAAGATTATTTTGTTGTAGTTGCTTCACTTTGTTCTCTATAGTAGGTGACAACTCTCCTGCTCACAGGGACATTTTAGTAATATGTGCAGCACTGGATTAAAAGGATGGATACTTTAATGCCCTTTGCTGGCAACTTATGATACTGACTGAATGTTACATCCCGTCAATGCTGTGAAATAACAGGAGACAAAGTGACATTGTTGACTGAACAAAGAAAGTGAGTTTACTTGTTGAATTTCTTTATTCAATTTTACTAGAAGACTGCCAGTATCATAGTGTGTAATATTAAGAAGATTAATCCTGAGGGAGAGAAAGCTGGAGCTAAACACAACCTAGTTGAAGTGGCTGTATTTTGTGTGCACAAGCACATGCACCATTTTCTTTGTGTATGTTGAACGACAGTTGTTGTTTTCTACTTTTGCCAACTGTTTTCAGTTTCTTCATTTTACATACTAGGAAGACGAAGTTAACTATTATAGAACACTCCCTTTGGTTCCAGAGAGAATATGCTATTATTACAAGTTAACCTTTCTGATATTTGTAGGAAAATCAGCTTTATCAGAAAATATCAAATGCACACAGAAAAAAGAGAAATTTTAGTGTCATGCTATTAGGAGTTCATGCAGTGTCAAGAACAATGGTTACAGGCCTTACTTGGCTTTTCAAGTTTAAAAGAGTTTCACGGAATGCCTTCAAAAAATAATAGCATTTTCTGGTCACAGAACTACTCAACTGAAGCAGAGAGTTTACAAGAGGAGAATAATGGTTGCAATGGAGAGATGTTGGGTTTAGGAGAAGTCTTCTCCTGGACATAGAACTTTTGTGGATGTTTCAAAGGCCCATGACATCTGTAAGACTGCAATTGCCAACTCAGGGGGTGTTGCTCAAGCCTGGTGCACCCAAACACTTGAGCAGCCAGTGCTCCTGAAGATCAATCTCAGTAGAAGGAACGTTTGGACAACTGGGTCCACTGGAATGGTCTGGTGTCTAGCAAGTTTGAGAATCTGTGAGATCCCTAACAAATTCCAAGATCATTGCCATTCAAAGCACTGCATCCCAGATCTGGTCAAAACTGTCAGTAAGCAATGGATTGGTGCTGAATATGCCACCAGTAGGTGATTTCCACAAGTCAGATATCTCCTTGAAAGGCGAGATAATGGGAATCCACAGATAAAGACCAGGACCTACAAGGAGAAGTAATTTTTAGGCTGCCTATGACATTAGCAGCAGCTCACAATACCTGGGGTAGTACAAGGTTGAATGACAGGTCACCTGAAGTAGCTCTTAGCTCTGTAGTCTTGGACCAGGAACCAACTTTCTGTTGAGGTGTCAAAGCCCCATAAGTGACAACATGCATCTATTGAGAACATTACACAGGGTCCTTCACAGATGTTTTAAACATATTAGAAAAAATGAAGCAACCACACTCAGAGAATGAAAATAAACGGTAGGAAGACAAAAAAGGAAATAAGAAGAAAACAAAGAGAACTTGTAGAAAATGATTTTGACCCCAACATTAACTCTCTCAACTGACTACATGACATCTTTGTACCTGATTCAAGTTTTTATAAACTTAATACTTCTAACTTTCAATATAGTATGTATATCTTCACAAAACTTGGCAGTCTTTCACATACAAAAATTCATATTTTTTAGCAAAGTATTTTTGATAAAATAAAATAAAGATTTCTCTATTAATATATTGAGTATTTGTTTTGAATATTCCATATACTAAAACTAAAAATACTTTTCCTCATCTCAATATTCTCAAATTTTCTTTGTGTAGTCCCTAAAACCTCCTAAAAGAAAGAAATAAAGATAGAAATAAACCTAAGTTACCCCATTTTTCTTTCTAGAATG